AAATCATCTATCCTGATGCAAACACAAACAGCTGTGGCTCTTGTGTAATTCTGAATACTTTTCTATTTAATTTATCTATTTATTTAATGTATTTAATTTATCTATTAACTTAGTTATCTATCTGAAAAAAATCTATTTGCCACGATAGTGTGAAAATACTCCCAAAAAACTGGCAGATAGAAGGTTCTGTTCTCCAGTCCTCTGCTGGTGTTCCCTGGATCCTCAAACTGCTGGGCTATTCTAGACCAGTGGGTGTGACAACCACGGTCTGCTTTGAAGGTACAGTCAGTAAATGGCTTTTTGCAGGAGCTGAGGCTGTGCAATATTCTGTCTCTGCTGCAAAGGATTTTCTTGCTTGCACACAGGCCCAGCAGCCCAGCTGATTACATCACTGACTGAGCCAGGCACACAAACCTGTTCCCATCACAGTCACTCCCAGCAGGATCCTCAGAGCTCAGGCAGAGCCACAGGGACTCATCTCTGATGGGCACCACAGCTCAGAGTTCTGGTGTCATTAGCGAAGGAAAATCATTTTCTCTGGCTTTTGAAAACCAAACTGGATAATCTACAGTGAGGATGACTTTACAACCCACCAACTTCAAATGGTACAAACTTGGGAGTTTTTATGGAAAGCCTCTAGTGTGGAGATATTTATATGACAAGAGGCTTTAGGATAGGCTGTCAGCTTTTAAAATTCTGCCGTTCTTCCTACATGTTCCAGACTTCCCCATCTCCAGAGCCAAGTCTCCTTCAGAGCCCTCTCTTTCTTTTTCCTTTCCCTCAGGCAAGCTAATAATAGAACACAATGTCTCCAGGGTATTTTGGAAGGATTGGGTAGAGTATTCCCTTTTTTTCTCTCTTTTTTTTCCCCCCCCCCCAGACTAACTCTGCCTTCTTCAAGAAGTATTTGGACAATGCTCTCAGGCACATGGTGGGATTCTTGGGGCTGTCTGGTGTGGGGCCAAGAGTTGGAATCCATGACACTTGTGGGGCCCTTCCAATTCAGGAAATTCCACAATTCTTATTTAGAAAAAAAAAAAAATGTGAGGGAAATGCTTTTGTTCAGCTTCTCACACCATAAGGTATCTGTTACTTTTAAATACAATGTTTTTAAGATAGGTGTCTGTAGTTTGAGAGAGCAGAAGCTGGTTTGGTTATTACAGCATTAATTGGCTCCTCTTGTTAACAGTTAAATTCCTTCAGGCACACATTAACAAGGTCATGTGAGGAGACCAACAGTCCCCAAGGGATTTGCTTCCACCCACCATCTTTGCACTGAAAACTCCAGTGTAATATAATTAAAAAAGAGAAGAAATGAAGCCCTGCTTAGTGCAGCATTGCTGCTGAAGCCACAGGTGAACTGTCCCCTCTCTGGGACAGCACAGCCAGGCCTTTGCTGGGGCTTTGAGCAGCCACTCACTTTATCACCTTCCTTTTCATCTCATCACTTTATCACCTTCCTTTTCATCTCATCACTTTATCACCTTCCTTTTCATCTCACTGCTCTGGGCCAAGAGCCCAGAGAGAAGAAACGGGAAAGAGTCATCTGAGCTTGGCTGCAAGGGAATGGGGAATTCCAGGAGCTGACTTGCTGACAGTCACAAATAAGGACTTGAGTCCCTTCAGCAGCTCCAAAGCGTCTCTGCTTGGGAGCCAGCAGGGATGAAAGAGGGTAAAGATATCAAACTTCTCAACTCCTCCTTCCTTCCCTCCCAGACAGGACCCAACACTTTATAAACAAGGGAGACTTTTGCAAAGTATCCTGAGCTTCCTCTTTAGCCCAGGTGTTACTTCTGAGCCTCTCAGGAGCAAAACAGATCTCTTCCCTCTGAACAAAGCCCTCTCCAGTCCCACTTCCATTCCACATTCTGATAAAGTCACCAAGGCAGGAATAAATTGTGATTCTGAACCCAGCTTGCCTGCCCTTGTTACTTGTGGATCCAGGTTTACCCTTCAAACAGGATCTTTTCTTCCCCAGTGACTGCTCCAAGGAGGTAAGATACGACTCCTGTTCCAGTCTTCTCTCTGTCCCAGGATTTAACAGTGGAAGTGCCAGGGGATGGGACTCTGTGGAATCCGTGGATTATTTTGTGACTAGAAAAGAGCTTCTTTTCTTCTGTGGGTGCTGTTTCCTCCAGTTGGATCCAGAGAGTTGAATGTGAAGCTTTATTTTGCATTTTGCAAAACGTTCCGGGCTTCCTTTTACCGAGACTCAGTTAGTGCAGCTGCTTAATTAACTGTTTCCAAAATCTAAGAAACTATAAATCTTTATCCCAGCAGGAACTGCATTAATATTCTCAGTGATGAAAGGCAAACAAGATAGTGTGTCACAGCAGGATGTCCCTTTCTATAGGGACAGATATTCCATCCTGTTATTAATAGTAAAGTTTTGTGGAACTAGTATAAACAGATTTGCTTAGAAAAGGGAAATCACGCTTTTGTTATTTTTTGTAAGTAAATGTTACATATTACTTAAAATAAAAGATTTTTACAGGTCAAAGTAAGTGATGGCATCCCTCATCCACACGAATTACCATCTCAGAACATGAAGATTTGACTTGGTTCCCAAAGTTCTTTATGCTCTGAGTTCCCCAGGAAGGTGATGAACAAGCTTTGCATTCCATGGAGAGAAAGCTGAGGCACCTGGAGTGAGAAGTTCTCCCCCTCTCACCTGGTGGCAGCTTCAGCCCAGAGCCTGTGCTGTGGTCACTGCAGCCCTGCCCGAGCCCCCAGAGCTTGAAATCTCTGAAAGCTTGGCAGGGTGGTTCCCTAAGTCCTTTAGGAAAATGTAGAGTGTTTCTACCTCTTCATGCCAGCCACATCTTCTGTCTGAGCTCTCATTTCTGCTGTGCTTGGGGTTATCTCCAAGAACTGATTTTGGAAAAGCCTTCTGCAGATTTCTCCATAAATTAAGTATTAGATGGGCAGTGCTTTATTTTGGTTTGGTCTGGCTCTCTCTTTTTTGTTATTATTTTTAGTGGGGTGTTGTTCATAAATCCCAATTTTT